TTTTGGTATTTTTGACTTCGACATGTGCTTCGCGCATTTTCGCACCACAACGGGGCGCACCTTTTGAACAGCTCACCTGCCAAAAGTGCTCCGAACCTGTGGTGTCTTCAGCGTTTTGGCTGCGCACCTTTTCAACAACTCAATGTCCCAAAGTGCTCGGAAGCTGCGGTGGTTTTTCGTGCTGACTTCAAAATGCACTTCGCACCACAACCGCATGCAATTTGTTCATGTCTCATCTCACCAAATGGTTCCGCCCCCGCCGCTTTAGCAAGCCTACTTTTCCACCCCCGGGAACCACAAACATTGGAAAACACACCGTGTTTCGCGACTTTTCTGTTTTTTTTTCGCACCTTGACCTCTTTCTACTCTACTGACTCTTTCTCTTCTCTGACTTCTTCTCTTCTGTCTCTCTTCTGAGTCTTTCTCTTCTGACTCTTTCTCTTCTGTCTCTGTCTCTTCCCTGACTGCTCGCACCACTGTTGCTGCATCTGTCAGGAGGTCAGAAGTTTGACTTCTAGACATCCTTCGATTGGGAAATGATTACGCAGGGTACAGCTCAGACCGAATAAATTCCATGCATGGGCCCACAGCGACAGTGTGCCCTGAGGAAAACAGATATAATTATGTGTATATGTATATATAGTCTTAATTACTAATATAAATGTACTATATACTATACTTAGTCAGTTATCATGTACTATAATATACTATTGTCAATATTGTAAAATAAATGTTATTCTGTGTGCTATCTAAGGTTATCAATCTATAATATTAGATATATATATATATTTAAAAAAGGCCTTGAACTCCGCTATCAATCTCTGCTCTGGGACGTCCTCCAGGCTGTGGAGTCGCCGATCAACAGCCTGACAGCACGGGATGACTTTCATATTATGATCACAGTATGGTATGGTAACAAATGGTAGCAATATAGTATTATGATCACATAATTTGTATAATATATACTAGGGGCTGATTACATGTGGAGTGAGAAAACGTACACCCCCGACAGACCGAAAAACATGCCATCTATTCAATTATAGGAACGGTGTGGCCCCACAAAAAAAAATCACATTTTCCTATGTCATCTGTCCTTCAGTCAGGTTCGGCCATAATGCTGCCCACATGACATGCAACCAGAAGATACCAGAAACATGTTTATTAATAACGAAAATTTGCCCCCTTGGCAGCTCCACAGGTTACATGTCATCAGGCCTCACCGTTGCAAACTAGGGGGATGCCAAAAACACCTGTGGAGCTGCCAAGGGAGAAAAACGGCTGAAAATAGCTGTGGTTTTTGGTGTCTCCCTACCGTAGATGGTCTGCAACGGTGAGGCCTGATGACATGGAACCTGTGAAGCTGCCAAGGGGGGAAAACGGCTGAAAATAACTGTGGTTTTTGCTGTCTCCCTACCGTAGATGGTCTGCAACGGTGAGGCCTGATGACATGGAACCTGTGAAGCTGCCAAGGGGGGAAAACGGCTGAAAATAACTGTGGTTTTTGCTGTCTCCCTACCGTAGATGGTCTGCAACGGTGAGGCCTGATGACATGTAACCTGTGGAGCTGCCAAGGGGAAAACGGCTGAAAATAGATTTGAAAAAAGAAACTAAAAATGTAGCAAGACATATATATATATATTCTTTGCAAATCTTTGCAACGCATTCAAGAACTGGGAAACCATGTGCACAATACATTCAACACGTTGTCCAAAAAGATGATTTTCAAAAAAACGTTGCAAAAGAAATGGAAACATAAGCAAGACATTGCAAACATATTGAAAATACACATATCAAAACATATCAAGTATATATAATATCAATACTTCAAGATGTAGAAAAGCTACAAACACTTTTTCCATCTTTTTCCATTTCGCAACCATAAACGTGACATTTCTCATTTTCCATCAATTTCCCGGCGTGTCTCCCCGTTGTAAGGTGAACATGCCTGAGGTTTTGGCGCAGGGGTAACACGACGGTGGCATGAGCCCCTGGGAGCCCCCGTTAAAGACAACAAAGGGGAGACACAACGGGAGGGAAACAACGGGAACATGAGAAATGTCACTTTTATAATTTTGAAGTCTCTGTACATAAGAAGAATGAACAAAAATAAAAAATATGTTTTTTTAATGACATTATTTTTATATTATTCTTTTATATCTGATATTTAAACTCAGAAATTTTCTGACATGCTATCTGACACTGTTCTCAAATATTTTGTGCTATTTTCAAACCACATCCACAAACCACTGAGTTTTTAACATGTTTTTTCGAGTTATATAAATATCCTTATTTGAGCATGTTTTGAGAATGTATTCAGGGTCAATTAAGATTCCTATCGTCTGTATTTCTTTTTCATGTGAATATGTCTCCCTACCGTACATGGTCTGCAACGGTGAGGCCTGATGACATGTAACCTGTGGAGCTGCCAAGGGGGACAAGCGGGTGAAAATAGTTTTCAATAAAAGAAAAAATGTAGCAAGACACATATATGCTTTGCAAAATTTTGCAACGCATTCAAGAACTGGGAAACCATGTGCACAATACATTCAAAACGTTGTCCAAAAAGATGATAAAAACAACGTTGCAAAAGAACTGGAAACATAAGCAAGACATTGCAAACATATTGAAAATACACATATCAAAACATATCAAGTATATATAATATCAATACTTCAAGATGTAGAAAAGCTACAAACACTTTTTCCATCGTTTTCCATTTCGCAACCATAAACGTGACATTTCTCATTTTCCATCAATTTCCCGGCGTGTCTCCCCGTTGTAAGGTGAACATGCCTGAGGTTTTGGCGCAGGGGTAGCACGACGGTGGCATCAGCCCCTGGGAACCCCCGTTAAAGACAACAAAGGGGAGACACAACGGGAGGGACACAACGGGAAAATGAGAAATGTCGCTTTTATAATTTTGAAACCTATGTGCATAAGCAGAATGGCATGGTGGTTAGTAACCTAACCGTGGAACCGCAGGAATCTGAACCGTAGGAACCGAACCGACTGGAACCTAATTGTTGTGAACCTAACCGAAAAGATTCGCCATGGAACCGTCAGAACCAATCGAACCGAACCGACCGAACCGAAAGCAGATATACCGAACCGATCGAACCGAAAGCAGATATATAGAGTCTATCCCATGGAGCGGGTTCTTCGTTCCCGCATGCAAGCATTCCTTCCCAATATCACCTCCACTTCGGTATTATTGACGCGGTGTCCCTCACACAAAGCACGATTGAATTGTGGTCAATGTGGTGCCCCAAATTAAAATTGATACCCGCTCTCATGCCCCATACGGTAGTGCTGCCAATTGGCATGCACAGGTTGCATTCAGATTTTGTCCCCAGAGGGAGGCTGGATCTCCCAATGTGGTGGCTGAATTAATTTACCAATGTCCCAATGCGGTGGCTGAATTTCCTAATGTGATTGAGGTGCCTGGACTCCCAATGTGATGGCTGCATTTCCCAATGTGGTCCCAATTTTCGTGTTTGGATCTCCCAATGTGGTCCTTATAGTGGTGTCTCGATCTCCCAATGTGGTAGCTGAATTTCCCAATGTGGTCCCCATTGTGATGTTTCGATCCCCAAATGTGGTTGCAGAATTTTCCAATGTGGTCCCCATTGTGGTGTCTGGATCACCCAGTGTGGTGGCTGAATTTCCCAATGTGGTACCCATTGCACTGTCTGGATCTCCAGATGGCTGAATTTCCCAATGTGGTCACCATTGTTGTCCCTGGATCTGCCAATGCGAAGCTGAATTTCCCAATGTGGTACCCAGTGCGGCGTCTAGACCTCCCAATGTGGTGGCTGAATTTCCCAATGTGGTCCTTCTCAAGCTCCCAATGTGGTGGAGAGTCAGCCACCACAATGTGAGATTCAGCCACCACAATGGGAGATTCGGCCACCGCAATGGGAGATTCAGCCACCACAATGGGAGATGCAGCCACCGCAGTGGGAAATTCAGCCAATGGGACATTCAGCCACCGCAATGGGAGACTTGGCTGCCTGGTGTTCAATCTAACCTGGGGCTTCACACTAGCAGGTGCCGGGTGCCAGAACTGGCCACACCAACAGGTGCCAGAGCTGGCCACACTAGCGGGTGGCACGGCCCTCAAGCAGGATCCAGGCTCAGGCTGGGCTGGCAGGCCCTAGTCGACTGCAGGTTCAGGACAACCTGGGATTTGGGGGGGGCTGCGGTTGTAAATTTTTGGGCTGGGAAGTTGTGCTTTTTGAGCCTAAAAGTTGTGTTTTTTTTTGTGTGTTTTCTTGTGGTTAGTTGTGCTGTTTGTTGTGCTAATTTTTGTGATCAAATCATCAGGGAAGTTGTGCACTTTTTGTGTTTTTTTGTTGATGAAGTTGTGGTCGGTGCCAGATATAAATCAAATTAGATGTTTTTATTTTTTCCTTGGCTTGTTGTTGTGCAAAAATGATCAGAGAAGTTGTGCTCTTTAAGCCTAAACATTGTGTTTTTATTTTGCGTTTTCTTGTGGTTAGTTGTGCTGTTTGTTGTGCTAATTTTTGTGGTCAAATCATCAGGGAAGTTGTGCACTTTTTGTGCTCTTTTTGCATGGGAAGTTGTGCTTTTGATATTTTCTACCTTTTCCAAAAACACGGCCGAGAGCACAAAAAAAACGCGACAGCAAACAAGGGTTTTCCCTTAGCAAAATTTGTCCCTTAGCAAAATTTGTCCCTTAGCAAAACTTGTCAACCAAAAAATTGTCCCTTAGCAAAATTTGTCCCTTAGCAAAAAATGCCCCTTAGCAAAATTTGTCCCTTAGCAAATTTTGTCCCTTAGCAAATTTTGCCCCTTAGCAAAATTTGCCCCTTAGCAAAATTTTCCTTTGGCAAATTTGTCCCTTAGCAAAATTTTCCCTTTAGCAAAATTTGCCCCTTAGCAAAATTTGCCCCTTAGCAAAATTTGTCCGTTAGCAAAACTTGTCCCTTAGCAAAATTTGTCCCTTAGAAAAATTTGCCCCTTAGCAAATTTTGTCCCTTAGCAAAATTTTCCTTCTAGAAAAACTTGTCCCTTAGAAAAAATTGCCCCTTAGCAAAACTTGCCCCTTAGCAAAATTTGTCCCTTAGCAAATTTTGCCCCTTAGCAAAATTTTCCCTTTAGCAAAATTCGTCCCTTCGCAAAATTTGTCCCATAGCAAAATCTGTCCCTTAGCAAAATTTTCCCTTTAGCAAAATTTGTCCCTTAGCAAAATTTGTCCTTTAGCAAACTCGTCCCTGCACTGCTGCCTTTCCCTTTGCCCAAAAGGGATGCTATCCAACAAAATCTCTGCAAGCTCCAAGTAGGCTGCCCCCAGGGTGATTTCATACTTCGGTTCAACATCAGAAAAAATTGGATTGAGAAGATTGGGCCTCTCAAATTGTTTGTGGTTTTGGTCCCTGGGTTGTTGTGCAATTTTGGCTGGGAAGTTACAATTAAAATCCATTATTCCACTGTTAGTGGGGGGTTCGCTCCAATATATGTGCATTTATTTCTTGAAGATAAAAACATGGTAGGTTTATGTTGTCTAAACGTTCTGGTCTTTTTGGAATCCACCTACCGTAGATGGTCTGCAACGGTGAGGCCTGATGACATGTAACCTGTGGAGCTGCCAAGAGGAAAAACGGGTGAAAATAGCTTTCAAAAAAAAACATAAATAATGTAGCAAGACATAATATTTGCAAATCTTTGCAACGCATTCAAGAACTGGGAAACTATGCGCACAATACATTCAAAACGTTGTCCAAAAAGATGATTCAAAAAAAACCGTTGCAAAAGAAATGAAAACATAAGCAAGACATTGCAAAACATATTTAAAATACACATATCAAAACATATCAAGTATATATAATATCAATACTTCAAGATG